ACACACACACACACACACACACACACACACACACACACACACACACACACAGTGGAGATAGACAGAGGCTCAGAAAAAGCAACAACATACACGGAGACAAAGATAGAGGGCATATCTTGTGGGGTAGGGAGATGGGCCTTGGGCCAAGCTAGGCCACAGTCCTCCCCAGTCACACTCCCCTCACCACCCTTTCCCTTCCTGGGAGGTGAACCAACTCCGACTCTGACCACAACAGAGTAGAGCCTCTGGCTTATAGCTAAGAAGCTAGATCTCTCCCTGTTTTCCAAAATGTGAAATTCCAGGAAGTAGAATACAAGTATAGTAGAACACACACTTGTATGTATGCAAATATGTGCATATACATACATACACACATATATGTATACAAACGTATCATATTTAATGGTCATTTCCAGTTCTAAATCTATGACTCTAGAATGACTTTGGGGGAGGAAGGGCAGGGATTACTATCCCAATTTTATTGACTGGGGAAAACAGGCCCAGTCAGGAGAAGTGAATTGCTCAAGGTCACACAACTCTTAAGGGAGAAAAGAGTTGGAGCTGGAAGGAACTTTACTCCATCTCCCTCATATTATGAATAATAAAACCCTGCCCCAAGATAAACCAGACTTACTCCCCAACCTCCATTAACTTTTTTTCTTTCTTCTGTAGTTCAGGGAATTTGGAGTAAACAGGATAGTGCAGGTGGTATGATGATACTGAGTATAGCCCAGATTAGGGGGTACAGATCCTGGGTATATTAGGCACAGAGAGGCCAGTAGCAGCCAGGAGAAACAGCTGCATACACGGTTGCCAAACCATCACCCCAGGCATTCTGACAAATCACCCACAACTGCCACCAGCCAATTTGGTCTAACCCAACCTCCTTTCCAAGCCACTAAGACCAGAGCTATGCCTGCCACTGCACTGACTTCAGGAAATTCTTCTCATAGCTGGGCTCTAGGCCATGCTTTAATTGGGGGAATGAAGACATGGAGTGAGCATCCCCAGGAAAGAACGTTATAAAAACAAAATGGATAAATCAACTTCCATGTCTGTGTTCATGTCTGTTTCCTGGGGGTGGCATAAAGAGCAGATTCCAGAAGGACCTCAGATACCTTCTAACTCAAGGAATTGTCCAATGATTTCATTAAACAGCTCTCCTGTTTACTAAAAAACAGAGCTGAAACATATCCAACTTCCCACAGTCACATTGTCAGAGGACTCCCAGAAACCATCTAGTCCAACTATATCATTTTACAGAAGGGAAAACTGAGGCTCAGGAACAAGCGACTAGCAAAGATGAAGTGCCCTGCCCATGACTATCGAATTTATAGATTATAATTTATAGTTATTATATTATATTAAACTATAGATTATAGTTCAGTGCCCAAACTAGAACCTAGGTCTTCTGGCTTTCTGCTTGTGTGCCCAAGGCAACTCATTTTCTATTGACAGATTCATTCTTCAGTGTATCTGTAGCCCAACAATGAAGTTTTTCCCCATCTCAGAAAGCCACCTAGCTGTTATTCTGCACCCAAGAGGCATTGCTAAGTGATAAGATGGAACCTCTCTGTGCACCCAGAATCCTCTGGGGAAGACAGTGACACATTTTTACCAAGTGTCCTTGGCACTTTGTTGCTTAGTTCAGTACCTGACATTTCCCCAAGTGTTTGTGCTGTTAGACCTTTCTCATTCCCATAAGACTGAAAAGTCATCTGGGGACTGTCAGTCACAAGCAAGTTTCCCTTGCTATTCTAATCCATCATCTTTCATATCTCTGGTGTGATGTATTCCTGAAATGCTGACTGGAAAGGGAATTTCTATAAACCACAACCTACCTCCCCCCTGATTTCCATCATGAAATGGAGATGCATTTTCATGAGGGACAATGATTGCCCATAAAAACATCCACTAAAATAGCATCAATAAAAATAAATTTTAAAAGAGAATCAATAAAACATTTTGAAAATGCCCAGAAAAAGCTTTTTTAATGAAATTGAATGTATTATAATTATAATTACCAAGTTTGGCCTTGGAAAAGACTTGAGAAAACGTATTTCCCTCCCTTTTCTGCAAAGGTGGGGAACTGTGGGTTTGTAGTATTGCATATATTGGCAGACATGGTCAATGTGTTCATTTTGGGTTTTTTCCTCTTTATTTTTAAATCTCTGTTACAATGATTGTCTTGCTAAATAATGGAAGGAGAAGAGAAATCTTGGAAATAAAAGTGTGTAAGAAACAAGAGACAAAAACAAGATAAAAATAAAGCAAACCAAATACAAGTTCAAAATAGTTTTCAACCTCATAGCCCTTTGGAGAAAAAGAGATGTTTTGGGGCATTTAGGTGGTGCAGTGGAAAGAGCACCAGCCCTGAAATCAAGAGGACCTGAGTTCAAATCTGGTCTCAGACCAAACACTTGACACTTACTAGCTGTGTGACCCTGGGCAAGTCACTTAACCCCAATTGTCTTAAAAAAAAAAAAGATGTGCTATGATCCAATGGTAATCATAATATACTTCAATAGTTTATCCATGATCTTACTGACAAAGACTGTGA